ACACAGTCATAAGTATGGCGCAAATTCCCAGAACCGACCAGATAATACAGAGTTAATACAAATACAAATACAGCGGAAGAGTTGATACCCATGGACTGACTCTGACCTGACTCAGACTGCAATCGAACACCCTCAACCATGCATCAGTGGTGTGAAAGCCCTGGCCTTGGACGTAGAAGAAAGGGCCAGGGTCTGAGATCATACACAGACGAATGGAGGGAGGAGAGACAAAGGGAGGAGGAGAGGGAAGATGACGTCAACTCAATGTTTCCAAAGATAGTATCTTGAAATGTCAGAGGTAGCGAAAATCCGAAATGTCGTGAACACAGTGTCTTACAATGTCTCAGATATCGATCTCACAATGTCAAGGTACAACTTCAGAGGAAGATGAAATCAGATCCCAAGAGTAGTCCTCAACCTACAGTCCCAATGTCGCTGTCTCCAATATCATCAGAACTCGTAACCATCCTTCATACTCCTAGTAGTCCCGTAAGAGAACCTAGGAGTAGACTTAGACTGAGAAGGTAAGAGGAGAGAGAGAGAGAGCGGTGGAGGAAGAAGAGGGAGAGAAGGCAAGGCCTTTCTCCCTGGTACCTGATACAGTAGCTATGGCGCCGCAGGGGCTGGTGCTGGGCCGCAGGCTGGGCCGGTGGCTGACGCTGCTCCCAATGCTGCGCTAGTTCCTCTCTGTTGCTGAGCTCCTCCTCTCCTCGCTGCTAGTGGTAACGCTGCAGTGCTGCGCTAATCCAGCTAACGCTGAAACGCTGCGCTAATCCTGAAGACTAACCTTCTGTCTACTACTAGCCTACTGACTGAGGCTGGTACCCAGCTGATATAGTGCTGGGTCGGCCTCAGTCCTACGTCTCCCCTCATCAGACCCTGTCCACCCACACTTGCCTGCTTCCTGAAGACCACCGATCGCCCTCTTACCCCCTAGCGCCCTGCAGCCCGGCTGTGGCTGCTACCGCTCCGCTGCCCAGCAGCGCCCCTCTTCCCCTCACACGAGCCCGCACACGCTCTGGCCTCAGCGCAGCACGCAGCCTCTAATGCAGCAGCGCAGCAACGTGACCGCATTGCCTGCGTGGGCCAGAATGCCAGACCCTGGCTGCCCTCCTTCCTATATGGAAGTGGCAGCCTCTGCTTGGCTGCATGTGGGCTGGCTGGGAAGCTTCCAGTAGCTTACGGTGGGGCCCCAGTACCTGTGTGGGCCAGAATGCCAGACCCTGGCTGCCCTCCTTCGAATGCACGGCGGCGACCCGCACCCCGACTGCCCATTTTCAGCCTTTCTCGCCGGTACCAGGGTGGTCGGCCGATCGGGGCACGGCCTGGGAGGCCGCCGACCACCGACACTGCCTTTTCCTCAGTCAGTGGGAGATAAAAGAGTGTGCTTGCCCACACTCTTCTCATTCATCTCCGGTGGCATTGGAGACAGCCGTGAGTGCGGGCAGCCAAGTTGCCTGGGGAGGTGAGAAGAGTGTGGGCAGGGTGGGGGACACGGGGTGGAACTTCGAGCTTGATGCAGTTGAGGCGAGGTGAAGGAGTCCACTCACCTGGTTCTCATGTGGAGGGTCTTCAGCAACACACAGGCGGCATTCTTCCTCAGCAAGCTTCCTTCGTTGCGGCATGCAAGAAAGGCTGCCACTTTCTTCCTCCTCTGGTCCGTGTCTGTGAGTGAGAGAGATCGACAGCCGATTAACACCCGTGCCAACTTACCCTAATTTTTCATTTGTTCTTCTTCTTCTTCTTCTTCTTCTTCTTCTGAAAAAAAACGTATGCCAACTTTACCCTAATCTTTCGCTTCTTTTTCTTCTTCTTCTTCTTCTTCTTCTTCTTCTTCTTCTTCTCCGTCTTCTTCTTCTTCTTCTTCTTCTTCGTCTTCTTCTTCTTCTTATTCTCTCTCATACTTTTTAGTTTGCGAATTTTGCCCTAATTTGTCTGCTATTCTACATCTTCTTTCTTCTTTTTCTTCTTCTTCTTCTCTCTCACACTTTTTAGTTTGTGAAGTTTGCCCTAATTTGTCTGCTATTCTACATCTTCTTCTTTCTTCTTCTTCTTCTTCTTCTTCTTCTTCTTCTTCTTCTTCCTTCCTTCTTTTTTCCATCTTCTTCTTCTTCTTCTCATCCTCCTCCTACCATCACCCACCTGCGCGTTTTTCTTTTCTTCGGAAAATCGTCGGGTACTCGGCACACTCTTCTCATTCTTCTTCTTCTTCTTCTTCTTCTTCTTCTTCTTCTTCTTCTTCGAGTTCTTCCTCTTCTTTTTCTTCATCATCTTCTCTCCATTTTCTTCCACTTCTACTTCTTCTACACCATCTTTTAATACTTCTTCTTCTTCTTCTTCTTCTTCTTCCCTCCATTGTCTTCCACTTCTTCTTCTTCTTCCCTCCATTGTCTTCCACTTCTTCTTCTTCTTCTCCATCCTCTTCTTCTTCTTCTTCTTCTTCTTCTTCTTCTTCTTCTTCTCCTCCTCCATTTTCTTCCAGATCTTCTTCTTCTTCACCATCTTCTTCTTCTTCTTCTTCTTCTTCTTCTTCTTCTTCTTCTTCTGCTGCTGCTGCTGCTGCTGCTGCTGCTGCTTCCTACCATCAACCACCTCAGTTCTTTTTCTTTTTCTTCGAGTTCTTCCTCTTCTTTTTCTTCATCATCTTCTCTCCATTTTCTTCCACTTCTACTTCTTCTATACCATCTTTTAGTTCTTCTTCTTCTTCTTCTTCTTCTTCTTCTTCTTCTTCTTCTTCTTTTTCTTCTTCTTCTTCTTCTCCTCTCCATTGTCTTCCACTTCTTCTTCTTCTCCATCCTCTTTTTCTTCTTCTTCTTCTTCTTCTTCTTCTTCTTCTTCTTCTCCTCCATTTTCTTCCAACTCATCTTCTTCTTCACCATTGTTACATGCTGCGCCTGCACACGCAGGCCATTTTCCAGGCCTGCGTCCTTCAGGCCGAAAGCCTGAACTTCAGGCCAAAAGCCTGAATTTCAGGCCGAAAGTCTGAAATCCAGGGCTTACAGGCCCCATGTCGGTTCAGCCCGAAAGCCTGAATTCCAGGGCCTATCCCTATGTCGTTTAAGACTAAAAATGGCAACAGCCTTTTTAGCCTGAAACGAAGGGCCATTTTCGGTCGTTCATCAGAACGACCGGCCCTGAAACTCAGGCACCGAACC